CTCTCTCTCTCTCTCTCTCTCTCTCTCTCTCTCTCTCTCTCTCTCAGAAATGAATAAACATTAAAAAAAATAGTAGCTTATGTTTTGGGGTCAGATACCGTGCTCAGTGCTTTATATTTTTTAGCTTATTAACAATTAGACCTTTCAAAATCTCCTTTAATAGGAAAGTCAAATGGGAACAGGGACAGTGGCAGAAGACACTGAGGAAGATACTCCTTTTAAAGGGAGAAGAGGGAGAGAATACTCTTCTAGAATCTAGTTTTACCGACTTATAAAATAGAGAAAAGATATCCGTAACCGTACCTGTTAGAGGATTAAGGTATGAGCGATGTGACAGGGAGGCCATGTGCTTATGGGGTGGCTTTGTCATGTATAGTGGTAATCTATAGTCGTTCGTTAGGTAATCTAGTCGTTCATTAGGGGTTTGGGCCAGTTTTGTCTTGCGATTGCTTTCTCCAAGTGTGTTCATCTTGTGGGAAGTGGAATGCCTGCACCATCCGTCGAACGAACAGATGATAAATTTCGGAAGCTAGCCCGGAGTCAGTGTTTGGTTTTCCCTTAAAATATTCCTGCAGTAAGCTGCGCAAAGACTCCCGGCTTTCACTGGAAAATAACTCACAAAGTCTCAGAATTACTGTGCTCTGCAGATTTACTGCATACGCTGGTGCCATCACAGACACAAGATAAATGCCGGGCAAGATACGGTGTCAGGTGAAGCAGATAAAATGATAACTTCTCAGCACAGATTTGTCTTCACAATGAGCGTGGCACTGCAGTGTGCAGTCAGACTCGGCTTTGACAGATTTTGCCACAAGATGGGGTTCTTGTCATCAAAATGCACTCAGGGTGCTTGCCTTCTGGGTAAGTCAGGTTCTAGAAATCAACCCTTTTTAGTAAGGTGGGCACTAAGAATCGACGGCCGTGACACGGAAGAGTAGTAGGTACTCCGGCGATGTAGACGCACGTCTGGTGATGTAGGGGGAAAATCCGGGACCCTGTACCCACGCGGTTTGGTGCCCTGGGTGTGTTGCAAGCAGAAGCTGGTGGCGTTCACTTAGTCTGACAAAGGTGAAACTACAGGTTCTCTGAAAACGAGCTGCGCGTGTATCTGTTCCCACGGAGCAGGAGAGGAAAAGGCCCGAGCACCTGCCTCCTGTGTATGCTCTGTGTCTCCACATCCACGGAGCTTTGGGATACATTTCTGGATTACTGACCTGTTTTACACCCAGCATGAGGTTTCCCTTCCGCTTTCTCTTTGGTTTTCTGGTCTCACCCCTGTGTTTGGACAGGGATTTTTTTTTTTTATTCTTTCTTTTTTTTTTTTTAATTTCTCTTGTGGGTAGGTCTCCTCTCTGTTCTTCACTGAGAAAATTCTGGGTGCTCCTATTTTGTTGAATATGATCTCTTTCCTGTTTGCTGTTCTTCCCTTCTGGGGTTTCTTTTAGATTTTTTATCAAACCCATTCTCTTTCATGTAGATTTCTCTGTGTTGTTGTATTCTCAGTAATTTCTTTCTATTTATCTCTGTATTTTTTTATCCTGCTCATTGAGTTTGTAATTTCTATACTTTTCATTTCTGGAATTTGATTTTTTTTCAAATTCAGCTCTTCACTATAGTTCTTTTCTTCTTTTAAAGGGTCATTTTAGGCACACTTGTATGGTTTCTAACATATTTTCCTGAGTTCTTATGGAGAGCCTAATTTGGTTTGCCAAAATGGTTTGAGAGCCAAAAATGGTTTGCTTCCTCATGGGGTTTTTAGATTGTGAACTTCCCTTCAACAGATGTTTATTCTGTGAGTGGTTTGTGTGCCTAACATACAGGGTAGTTTGGTGCTTTTCTGTTCCAGCTCCCCAATGATGATAGTGGATTGGACCTTTGTTGCTGTTTTCTCATCTGGTGGTAGTGAAAAAAAATCCACTTGGATGCTGGTGCATGGGTATTCTTTATTTCTCACAGGTAACTTCCACATGCTCCCCCTCGGTCTGCATCAGAAGTTTGCCATTGGGGTGCCTGGGTGGCTCAGTCAGTTGAGTGTGCGACTCTTGATTTTGGCTCAGATCACGATCCCAGGGTCATGGGATTAAGACCCTTGTCTGCTCTGCGCAGAGTGTGAAGCCTGCTTGGGATTTTTTCTCCCCCCCCACCCCCCACCCCTCACCGATGCGTGCACACGTTTTCGCTCTAGCAAAAAAAAAAAAAAAAAAAGTTTGCCTTTGCTCTGGGTCTTTGGCCTCCATCCTGAAAGTTTCCATTTCACACTCTGAATTCTTGTTCCTTTATGGCACCTGGGCATTTTTGGTTCTCATTTTAAGCCTGGCTCTCTATTAAAACAAAGATTACAGGTTATCAATTTTATAGTGATAGAAGGAGCCCCTCCTTGTCAGTTATTTCCTCATCACACACCAATACAAGCATGTGCACATTGATTTGCCTGTGTGTATGTGTACGTATTTTACGAGAGATGCTGATTCTAAATCATGTTCCCTTTGGTTTCAGTTTCTCACCCACCATCCCTTTCATGGAATCTTAAATTACAAAGAAACTTATTTGAATGCCCTTTCTTTTCCTGGCCAAATCACATGGAGAACAGAATGACTTGGGCCCCTTGAAGCAATGTTCTGGTATTTCCACGTAGTTACCTAGGAAAGCCCAGAATTCTGAAACTGGGAACACTCCTTCCCTCCCTTGCCAGAAGAAAAAAAAGGCACAGAAGGACGTAATATTTAGTATTCTGTGTTTCTGCCATTTGTCTGTCTTACTAGGGAGACTTTCAGTACTAAACTGATGGCAGCGAGGAAAATATTTAGGCAAAACACAAGTAAAGCTCACAGGAGTTGTTTTCAAGGTGTTGTGGAGGGAGCTTCATGTGAGCACGCTGAACGGGAAGAATAGTTAATCAGTGGGGAATGGATGCAGCTTGGCTGATCTGGAGGGTCATGCAAAGAGAAGGGCAGAGGATCATCGTGGAGGCTGACCAGTCACCAGTTGGCCCTGGAGACCGGCACCGGACCTAGAGTGCGAACCCGCACCCCTTCTCTCATTTCTCTTACATATTTGCCTTCACTTTTAACAGCACAGTAAGTCCTGTCTTTTGCTGACTTTTCACCAGAGGCTAAAATGCACCTCTCAGTTCAAGGAGACAGCCGGTTCAGTAGCTTAAGTAGTGTTACAATGATAAAGCACATATCCACCCAGATTTATTATGTGAGTGCTTCCTCCACCAATCTGAACTGGAATTCTCAGTTTAAGTGTCAGCCAAGTTTGCTCTCAGAGAAACACAGCTCTTGTTCCATTTCAGGAGTTTTTATACCTCCTTTGGCTTTGTAGTGCTTCAAATGGGCCCTGGTGTGTGGAGCCTAATGGTTTCTCTGAAAATTTCTTATACCATTTTCTTAAACATTGCTGTTGGTTTATTTGATTTAGAATAAGAAAATCCTCACTTGCCTTCTTAAAAATGTTTACTATCTTTGAGAGAGAGAATGCAAGCAGGGGAGGGACAGAGAGAGGGGGACAGAAGATCCAAAGCAGCCTCCGTGCTGACAGCAGCCAGCCTGA